CCGCGTTCCGCTTCACCTTGAAAACCCATCTACTACCTATCGCTTTCGCTCCCCTTGGTAACTCGACCAGCTCAAACGTCCCATTCTCCACCAACGACTGAATCTCGCTCAAAGCCGCTTCCCACCACTTCTGCCTCTCCTTCGGCTCCTGTTTCATCGCCTCCTTAAACGATCTAGGCTCTCCATCGTGTGACATCGTCTTCAGCGCATGGGCAAACTCGCAGGCCTGATCGAGGGTGAGATACTCCGTCCCCATAAAGTCCAATCCGGTCGAAACCAGCGCAGAGTCGTAGGCATCGCTATCTTCATCCTCCGACTCCAAGATAGGATCCGGAATCCGAGTTTCTCTCCAAGTGGGAGTATCCGGAGTCGCTGCCAAAGGATCAGGGCTATCGTCACCTATAAGTGGCCTATCCACCCGAGGAGGCGTCTGGAATCGAGGAGTAGGAAGACGAAGAGGATCCGGAGATAGCGAGCGAGGTGGGACGGAAGGAGTGCGATGAGGAGGACGATCGTTGCGTTGCTGAATGGCGTTCTCATTGAGAGACTTGTCTGGACGAGTAGAACGGCCTGGATTGCGTCTAGGAGGAGGAGATGGTGATCGTTCTGGAGTGGGAGATGGAGAGAGCGATGAATGGGGCGAAGGGGTACGAGGATGTGGCGGTGGCACGTGATGAGGGGGCTGAGGAGGGGCTAAGTCGACGTGCTGCGGAGCTAGGGGAGGTGGCGGATTAATAAACTCGCCAGAGGCGTCCAATTCTCCCTCCTGATCCGTCACCTCTACCAAAGAAGGACCAGGAGTATCACTGGGAGATAAATCGTCGACCAGATTAATAGCCAGAGTGGAGTTACCAGGGAAGAAGCGTTCATCGAACACAGCATGAGAGCTAATGACGATCCTACGCTCAACCGGGTCCCAAAACTGCCACGCCTTCACCCCATTTCCATACCCAACGAAGATACACTTGCGAGTATGCGAAGTGAACGGCTTCCGCTTCTCCTTCCTAACGAGCACATAGGCGAGGCAACCGAAGACGCGGAAGTAGGAAACATCGGGTTTCTTCTTCTTCCAAGCGACGTAGGGAATGCCGCCATTGAGAGCAGAGGTAGGTGTGCGATTGGAGACATGGATATAGGCGGAGACAGCGAGATCCCAGAACGAAGGAGGGAGCTTAGCTTCGATAAGCATCGCTGTAGTAGCAAGAGCCATGTCGAGATTCGCCTTCTCCGCTACGCCGTTTTGATGGGGTTCGTTAGGCTCGGTATGCTGGCGAAGAATCCCTTCCTCTGCACAATACGCATCCCAATCCTTCCCAATATACTCTCCTCCCTTATCGTCCCTCAACATCTTAATCTTCCTCCCTAGCGCCTTCTCTGCATACGCCTTGAACACTCTGAAAGCCCCAAAAGCCTCACTCTTCTTCCTCAAGAACTGAACCGCCTTGAAACGTCCAGCATCGTCGATAAACGTGACCCAGTAGCGATACCCGTTGCGGGTGGGAGGGAGGGGACCCTTGAGATCGCTATGGATGAGATCGAGAGGGTGAGAGCGACGAGTAGCGGTCTTTGGAACGTTATGACGACGTTGCTTCCCAGAGAGATAAGGCTCACAGATAGGATCGGGCGTAGAGGAGGAAGAAATGGTAAGACCGTCAACGAGCTTGAGGGTATGCATGCGTTTAACGGCGTCGTAGTTGGTATGAGAGAAACGGCGGTGCCAGAGAGAGAGATCGAGTGGCAAAGTAGAAGATAAACGAGCATGATGAACTCCGAAGGAGGAAGTACGCCCATTGAGATAGCCGATGTTGCCATCGACGATAGAAGCGGTAAAAAGCAGCTCTCCAGCTCGCTTGAAAGCGACGTCACGCCCGACGATATGAAGCTCATAGCCCTTGCTCACAGAGAGATGGAACAACGATAATATATTCGAGGCGAGCTTGGGAACGTGCAGGACGTCATGGAACACTACAGGACGCAACTCTCTACCACTGACAATAGGAACGAACTCGATAGACCCCATCCCCTGAGAATAGATGACTGAATCGTCGGCCAAACGAACGGGCACGACGTGGGGAGAGTACGAGCAGAACCAATGGCGATGAGGGGTCATGTGTGAAGAGGCGCCTGTGTCTGTGTTCCAGTCAGTGGCTGCACGAGAACGGAGCCAAGCGGGGCGAGCTGATGATGAAAGAGCACTTGCATGACCGGCTTTCTCCTCCTTGGGAGTCTCTCCCGAACCAGCCGACGGCGTAGAAGCCCCTCCTTGGGCTTCATTCGCGTTCGCGCCCTTCCCTCTACCTCTACCACGACCCCCACGCTTCCCTTGGCCTCCAGAATGCGATGACGACGACGTAGACGATCCAGACGACATCTGCTTGGCCAATGACGACGCAGACTTCATCTCGGGACAATCACGAACGATGTGGGAGGGAGAGTCGCAGAAGTAGCAAAGGGGCTTGAGAGCGGCGGCCATAGCGAGCTCAGGAGTGTCTTCATTCTGCAGGGCACGACGTTTGCGGGATTGCTCCTCATTGGAGAAGGCTTGGGTGACGTTGTCGAGGGAGAGGTCGTCGGAGAGGGTAAGGAAGGTGACGAAGTTGTTGTAATCGGACGGGAGGGCCTTGATGAGTGTCATGGACGATAATTCGGAGTCGAGGTCGTCAAGGGAGAACTTGGCAGGGCGGCGCTCTTTGATATGGGAGATGTAGAGGTCGACGCGAGCAACGAGGTCGGAGAGGGACTCTCCCTCTTGGAGACGAGTGGAGAAGAGTTCGGAATAAGCGTCGAATCGCGTACCAGTCTTCTTCTGCACAAAGACACTCTCTAACTTCTCCCACATCGCCTTCGGATCTCCCTTCTCCTTCCTGATATGCGCCTTCTGGTTCTCCTCAACCAGCAACCAAATCTCCCCACTAGCCTTTGCCTTCCTCTGATTCCACTCCCTCATCTCCTTCGCTTCGGACGCGGTCATGGCCGAGGCGTTAGGAGGGGTAGGAGCGATGTCAGTGCCATCTACTTGGCCCCAAACACCCTTAGAACCGAGGACGGCTTCAGCATTGTCGACCCAGGAGCTGTAGTTGTGGCGATTGAGCTTGTCAACGGCGCGTTTGTCGTCGGACATGATGCCGGATAGGATAGCAAAGGAATGGAGGTGATAGCGATGAAGGGGAGGCGAAACGAAGCTAATCGATGAAGAGGCGATTTTCGTCCAAAGGAAGAGATGGAGACGTCGATAAGAGGCGCAAAATGAGTCCGATCGATAAGAGGGCGAATGCAGCGAGTAGATATCGATGACGACGAGTCTAGCGCAAAGAGAGAGAAGCAGAGAACTCGTTCTGAGGCGAGTAGAGAGAGATCTGAGTCTCAGAGATCAATTAGGAGCTAAGCAGAACGTTCTGAGGCGATTTAAAGCGCAGGGCCCATAACCTGTGAAGCGCAGACAATCGAGCACTCGAAGAAACGACTGTGAGAAGCGTCACTGTCAATGATATTTCCCTCACAAAGTAATAGAAAAAGAAAGAGACGAAATCTATAGTAAGACTCACCTGTGAGAAGCGTCACTGTCAATGATAAAGAGACAAGGACGCTTCCCACAAGTTAAAAGGACGCGCTCCGGCGCTTACCGGTCTACTATACAGTTGGAAAACTACCTGCCTAAACGGGACGCAGAGGCGCGGAACCGAGGCGCGGAATCCGGCCCCCTGCGGCCCGCTGGCTGGCGAAATAACTAAAGTCATAACTCTGCAGTAAGTGGTCCTATCAGTCCCGGAAAAATTGCTA